CCCTTAAGGCGCTCGGCAGGGAGGCGCGCAGGAGGCTCATCCGGCGCTACCTCATGGAAGGTCGACCCGCAGCCACAGCGGCGTGAATATCTCTGGGCGACCGCCGAGCGCACCCGGTACCTGGATCGAGGGCAGAGGTTGCGGCGGACGCGGCGGAGTTCCGCCTAACCTGTCGCGCCATCTCGCCCTGGGCGCAGTGGCGCCTCCAAGGCCGCTTCACCTCCGGCCGGGGCGGAGCAGCGGAGGCCGCCTGTCCGTGGTGCGACGGCGTGGAGCTGGACACCTTCCACAGTGCCGCAGTGCAGCGCAGGCGGGCGCCGCAGCCGGGACAACCAGGGAGGGCGCGCCAGCCACAGCGCTTGTGCAGCGCTGCGCACAGGGCGCCGACGTCCTGGCGGGGGTGACCGTAGCGGCGCGGCTCGCGGCTGGGCCAAGGAGGTGACGCGGGCGCCCGGGGGTCGAAGGGCCACCCGCTCTGCAGTGGCCCTCGATGATGACACGGCGACGGGAGACCTTCCCGCGACCGCACGTCTGGCCTCGGACAACGCGCCGGGGCTTCGCTGGCGGGAGGCGTGGTGCAGGGGTCTTTGTATCACCCGCTCCGGCGGCCCTGGCTGGGGGAGCTCCGGGGGCGCGTGCCAGGGGCGCGGGGCGCCTGTGACATGAGATTTCTTACGTCACGGGCCTCGGCGTCCCTGGCCGGGCGGGCCTTGGGGCCGGGGGGGGCGGCCCCGTGGCGGGGCTGGTGTCGTTGGTGGTGTCGTCGTCGCCGCCGTTGTCGTCGTCGTCGCCGTCGTCGCCGTCGTCGTCGTCGTCGTCGTCTTTCGTCGTCGTCGTCGTCGTCGGTGCCGCCGGCGTCGGAGTCGTCGTCGCCGCCTTTCTGCCCCTCCTCCTTTCCCCCCTGCCCTCTGTCGCCTTCCCCCCTCTTCTTCCCTTCCCCTGCCAACTCCCCCTCCCCTCCCTCCTCCCCCCCCTCCCCCCCTCCCCCTCTCGTCGGTCCAACGGCGTCCTTCGACCCTGGGGGAGCCTGGCAAGAGAGCGCGCCCCCGACGGGCGTCCAGCGACAACCCCGTCAGCCCTGCCGCGGCAGGCTTCGGGGCTTCCTGAGTCGCTGGCAGACCGTCGGGCCAGGTTTTAAATATTTGTTTAAACGAGTTTCTCCCAGTCTGCCGGGAGAAACCCGCGCCGGCCGGACCGGTGGCGGCGTGCTATCGAAAGAAAGAATGGAGGAGGAGAAGGAGGAGGAGGAGGAAGAGGTGGAGGAGCAAGGAGCAAGGAGCAAGGAGCAAGGAGGGGGGGCGACCCGCGGTGTCTAGCACGCACAGGTTGGCGCAGAGACGCGCGCGCTCTTGGGGCATGCGCTCTGCGCGACTTTGGAACGACCGACGCGGCGATGGGAAAAACGTGGAGGAGTACCAAAAGCAGTTCCCGCTCATTTTGAACACGACTCGCTGCCGGTATATCCTCGCACGTTGTGCGTTTGGGGCAGACGCCGCCTGACCACGAGCGTCCCATATCGGTTTTGGAAGGCTTCGTTTTGGGGCATCGTTCCCATTTTTCCGTCCCCGTGTCGGGCGTGTGAATGCTTTGCTGGGGTTGTGGGCCCATTGGAGTGCCACGCAAGGGCACCACCATAGGGGGTCGCCACCTTCTTCATGTGGATAGCGGATCCAAGAGGGTTGAGGATGAAGGCGCGAGATGTTCGGGGGGGCGTTTCGGATAGTTGTGTGTGTAATTACGTGTGGGGGGGGAGCGGGCGGCTATCCTCCCCAGGACGACCGCTACAGTAAACACGCCTGCCGCGGCCGCTGATGCGTACAGGGGCCGCCCGTTCACGCCACTGCGCGTTTCCATCGCTTGAGATCTGTTGGTCCACGGGCGCCTGTCTCTTCTTCGTAGACCAGAGGGCACTGGCGGGTCGCGCGGCGGGTCGTCGTCGAACCGCTTGGGCCGAGAGCTTCCAGAGCCAGTGCGGGAGAAAACCAGTTTTGTGTCTTTTTTTGTTGAACCCGGCTTCTCCCACGCGCCCAGGGACAGCAAGACCGCTCGGCCCCCCTCACTCTGACTGTCGACGTGTGCTAAAGGGAGGGGCGCGTGAAGAGGGAGGTAGAAGAGCAAGAGAAGAGGGAGGTGGAGTCTATTCCGTTCGTTTTTCACCGCTAGAGGGCTTCCGACATTTCTTGCGCTTGCAGGAACAACAGCAGGGAAGGAGGAGCAGGAGGAGGAGCAGGAGGAGGAGGAGGAGGAGGAGGACGGGAAAATGAAACACTTGGCAGGTCTTGCAACCCGCGCTTCAGCCGCCACTTCCGGCCAGTGGACAGGGTCCAGCTTCCAGGTTCCAAGACCATCGCCCGTCTGTTTACGGTGGACCTCGACGACACCACCTTGCGGGTGCAGAGAAGACCGCCAGCAACGGGCAGTGCCAGCCGGAGCCAGAGGCGTCAGGACCGCGAGACTGAGAAGCAGAGAATGCTCGTCGTTGAGCAGGACCGCGAGTTCGAGCGCGACCGCTTTATAAGGCAGATGCGACGGCGGCACACCCAGCAGTTCTTCCAGGAGTACGAGAGGGGCTACCTGAACTACGAGGCCGGGGAGTGGGACGTCGCCCGCGAGGCGCTGCAGCGGACCATGCTACTGCCTCGGAAAGTGGCCGGCCACCTCGATGGCCAGCCGCACCTGGATGGCCCTTCTAACGTGCTCCTCACGTACATGGAGGAGCATAGCTTCAAGGCTCCTGAGGATTGGAAGGGCTGGCGCAGGCTTGATCGAAAGACTGATACGTTTTACGTTTAGGCGCCTTCTATTGTGGAGCAGCAGAGGCCCCACGGAGAGACGGGACACGCGAAACCAGCCGACCACACCCCGAGCAATTATAGAGCTTCCAGTCGGAATGCCACTGCCAATTGGCGTATGAAGCTCAGGTGGTCATGCCTAGCGCAACAGACTGAAGTTTGGGGGGGGAGACGGCCATTTACGGCAGGTTGACGCCGCATTGATGCGGCGGCTACCCCTGCGCGGGCGTTCAAGGTTTAACGCCAACAGTGTCCAGAATTGACCCAGATCGAACAATCTGCGCTGCTGGAGAGCCACGATCGTTCAAGGTTGAACGGTTCACGTCGTGCCACACTACTCTGCCACCGTGCCTGTCTGGGGCCATCCTGAGCCCCAGGATGGTGCACAGATCCTCCTAACCTCGGCCTGGAGGGCGTATCCACCATGGCAGGGCCCAAAGGGGCCTGCCCAGGCGGGGTGGTGGTGGTGCATACAGTGAGGAACGTCTGCTCAGCGTGTCGCGCCGCCAGTACTGGCCCACCACTCTCCAGCGCGACACGCTATCCACGTCCCTGGTCCCCGAGCCTCGCAGAGCTGAGCGACAGGCTATCAGCTTGCACGGCACAGCGTGTCGCCGCTGCCGCCGCGCCGTGCTGAGCAGCAGTTCCCGACCGTCGGCCGCCAGTGCCGCCTGCGAACCACGGCACCCAGGACCTGCACGGGCGCCCCGCTGCCTTGCCCCGAGCGGGCCCGTGCACAGGGCCCTCCCGGAGGGGGGGCCTTGCCCTCGAGAGGCCGAGAGCTCGACATCCAGGGTGGCAGGCGGTGGAAGCGAAACGGGGGCGGCTCCACCCGCGGAAGCTGGCGGAAGGCCAGCAGAAACCGGCGGAAGTACAAGATGCCCCCCGCCACCCGTCCCGAAGAGATGGTCTTGTTTGGTTGAGGTCCAGGGCTCGGGAGCCCGCCCACACGGCCCCCGAGCGTGCACCCTTTCCACCCGCCCACACGGGCGGAGTCCTCCAGCGGGGCCGCTGCGCGCACCGCAGCGGGATGTCCACCGCTGCCCACCTGCCCCCTGCCACTTTTTGGGGGGAGGCGCGCCAGGGCCGGGCGGAGCGAGGGGGGCGGCCTTCTGGCGCCGGGTGCCGGGGAGCGGTTTTTGGATGTCCTGGCCCGCTTTGCAGCCCGTGTTGCCACTGCTGGACGCGGCTCGAGAGGCTGGCCAGGGCGGCCGTGGGAGGGGTCCCCAGGGGGACCAGTCTTGACCTGGGTGGTGGCGGTGTGCGAGCCTTCCGAGAGCCGGGACGATCGAAATGGGTACGGAAAGAATGGGTACGATGCCCAACAGCAGTTCCTGTTCGTTTTGAGCAGGACTCGCTGTCCGCGCCGCCGCGGACGCTGTCCACTGAAGACAAACAGCCGCCCGCCCAACAGCGGCCGCTGTCGGTTTTGGACAACATTGGTTGTTGGACATTGTGCCCATTTCTTCCATACCCCTTCACGGGCGTCCAAAGAGAGGGCAGGGGGCTTTTTGGGAACCCTTCTCCCTTCCGGGGAAGCTTTCGCAGGAGCCTCCTCCGAGCCCTCCCGAGGGCCCCCGTTGCCACCGCAGGAGGCCCTCACCCCCTCGCCCTGCCCCCTTGCGGCGCGCCGCGTTTCCTGTCACTTCGCCTGTTATAGGCGCGGCTTGTGCTGCTGCCTTCGGGGCACCGAACACTTGCCACACGGACGGCTCCTGCTGTGAGCACGGCCCTGACTGTCTCACCCATGTATCGAGTAGGGGATTGATTGCAGAATTGATTTTCCCCAAACTTGATTTTCCCGCCGAGTCTGCGGACAACGCGTATCATGTCCCGTAGATCTTCGAATATCATGCGTGCTTCTTGCATATTCGGCGGGAAATCAATTTTGGAGCAAATCGACCCTGTACTTGATCCTCTATCCGAATGTAAACGGCCGTTCCGTCCCTGTCTCTGTAATGGAAGCTGGATGCGCACGGCGCGGCCAGCTTGGGCCTGGGGCTGGGTAGCTCGCACGTGGCAGGATGCTTTTCCAGCGCTCGGCCCTTCTGTGACTGGCCCCGCCAGCCCTCCGCATGGGTATCCAGGCGCGTGTCCTCCCAGTGGTTCCTCGCGTGAATCCAGGCATGTGTGCTTCCGGCTTCCTGGTAGCAGACGGCCATTCCGTCCTTGTCTCCAGGGGGAGCCTCAAGCCAGGCCAGCCTGGAG